GGCCAGGGGGCGGTGGCCGTGAGGGTGCGCGGCGTGCCAGCGGGCCACCGCGCGGCCAAGGTCGTCCAGGTGCTGGACGAGGCGTTCGCCGGCCGCTGGGCCTACGTGGGCGACCGCCAGTTGCGGGAGCTGCCGCGCGCCGCGCTGGAGGCCGCGTGCGGCGCCGGCCACATGCAGCTCCTGCTGCTGGACGCGGAGGAGGAGGTGGCGGCGGCGCGGGACCTGGACGCTGCCGTCGGCTGCAGCGTCAAGGTGGTCGCTGTCTCCTCCGGCCACGGCGCGTGCCCTTTAACGGGCGGTGTGACTATGGATGAGGAGGACTGGAGGATGGACCACCTCACACTGGAGGCTCAAGAGGCTCTCGTGGACCGCAATCTCCTTCTCCAGGTGTGTACTTGAATTTCGAGGTGCATCCAGAAAATAAGTCTTCCGAGGTCGTTAACAATCTTTTATGTAAAAAAAAAAAAAAACAATTTCAGGGGAAAATTTGTATTCGCAGCTAGAATACATGCCCCACTATATTGCCACTTAATCACCAGACGTGCGACATATATCATCATCTGGGCTCAGTGTTTAAATCCCTGCGTCATAGAAGTCTTCCGTCGGGGAAAGATATCATTAATGAACTGCCACCTGCAACATTGCACATAATTATGAAGGATAAAAAAAAATTAAATCTCTGGTGTCAAAATCCAAACCATAATAAACCTTTTGATGTAGATTTCTATTTAATTTGCTAATCTTCAAATCGAATATTTCGCCTATTGTTGATAATCGTTTAATATTATCATATTGCTTGCGTCCGAAATGATAACAATAATCGGCATCCTCTATATGCTATTTTTAATTTGTTTTTAATCAATTATTTGGGTTTATTATCATACTAATTCACGAAATTGTTCAACTAAAAGCACGAGTGATTGGAAATTCTTGGTAAAATCTCTCATCACTTCGTCACACTTGCACTATTAATAAGGATAAAATAAATGTTAAACTAATCTACGGCACCTAGTATTATTTTATATTACGCAAAAAAAAAGATAAATATGAATTTTATCTTTTAAAAAACTGAGGAAAGATTTTACCTCAAAATGTGTCCAGTGCCCTCGAAACGCTCCGTGCGAGGGGACGTGGACGGCGCCCTGGGGAACGAAATGAGTAGTATGAGTGACGATGTCTAGCCCTGGGAAATGCCTCATAGAGCGTGTGTGTCTGTGCAGGGTCGTCCGGTGCCCTTGCGTGCCCTGGAGCCCTCGTGGCGCTCCGTGCAAGGGGACGTGGACGGCGCCCTGGGATATGAAATAAGTAGTATGAGTGAAACGATGTCTAGCCCTGGGAAATGCCTCATAGACCGAGTGTCTGTGCAGGGTCGTCCGGTGCCCTTGCGTGTCCTGGAACCTTCGTGGCGCTCCGTGCGAGGGGACGTGGACGGCGCCCTGCTGAGCGCCCTGGTGCGCGGGGGGGCTGCGATGGGCGCGGCGCTGCCCGCCCCGGGAGACGCCCACCTCGACCTCCCCCGCACCCTGGAGCACCCCGCCACCCTCGAACCGGCCGTTCTGGAGGGGCTGGACCCGCGGAGCGACCATCTCGTCCTCAGCGGTTTTCCAGCGCCTTTTCTTGAGAACCTGTACAACACACTCAGGTCTAAAGATGTCCGAAGCGAAAAACCTGAGTCGTACAAAAGACAAGGAAGTGTACAGGACAATTGGGAAAAAGAACCTTCAGAGAATGATGCAGCTGTAGAAAATAACAAATGGTGAGTTTAGATGTGATCAACAAGTTTTGTGATCTGAGAATTAAATATTTAATAAACTAATTTATATTAATTTTAGTTAGAAATTGGAGAATTTTGGAATTATTCATTACAATACTAACTCCGTCAGTTAATATTAACACAAAACTCTACGAAATGATTTGAAGAACAAGTGTTATTTTTTGGAAGTTGTTGCGGAAGAATGGAAAAGAGCAATTATCTTGTTACTAATGATCGATACATTGATACAAATTTAATTCTTTCGATGAAAATAGGCTCAGTGAAACCTGCTCAAACGGACACTTCGATTAAGTGACCACCTCCATAACGTATATATTTTCGTGAAAGCGATGGATTTTTCCCCTTCAAAAGGGTAAACATTTTCACTTATGAGCTGTCGGAGACATTCCGTTGATTGGCCTTCATTATGAGGTCACCTTAGGCGATTTTGAACTGTATAATAATAATAATAATAATAATAATAATAATAATAATAATAATAATAATAATTACAAGCGAAAAAGTGGTTGAGATTACTAATGATTTAACGTTTTCCTGCGACGGAACATATTTATTACTACGATCAGAGTCTTGAGTTGCTTATTTCCCAGGAGATTGAATTTATATTTCAGGAAATAACACACGATTTTAATAATTATCTCTTAATGAAACAAAGCATTCACTTCGTTCGTTTGGTAGTATTTTTACGGATCTCGTCTCCTCTTCTGAATATTGATGTAGACATAATTAATTTCAAAGCAATTAGCACACCTAGATTTGATGTCAACCTCCAGTAACCTAATGAAGTTGATTTAGCTACCACCACAATGAACGGCCAAGTTTTGCCGGGGTCATTGGTGACCATTTAAAACAAATTTCACTACAAATAATGACCTCTGAAGCTGGCTAGCCACCCACTGCGGACTACAACGAAACCCTAACCAACATTTAGTTCTAATTAATAAGTATTAATTAACCTAAGTTTAAGTTAATTACGCCAGCTATTTTCTAAAAAAACGAGGGTCAGCTAGCTTCAGACTTAAGTTCGTTACCCACTTACCTAAATTTCGCAGAACAAAATGAAAACATATAACCTGCGAATATGTATTAATTACGAAATAAGTACTCAATTTTGACATATTAACAATTAATTGTTTATACAAATTCAAAAATGTGCCCCAAATGCGCAATATAGTCTGAGAAATCGTAGAACTTTTTTATACTGGCATGACACAGAATTACTAACGTCAATTACTTTTAAATACAGTATATTTAATGACCACTCGGTTTCAGAATTAATAACTGCTCTCAATTCTTTATTAGGGCCCCTTAATCTTCAAGAGAAAATCTAATCAGCAATACTTTTTTGCAACAAGTTGACGTGGCAAACTTAATAAATGTAAATATATTCATCAATGGCAATATTACAGTATTCATATTGAAATAATTTTTAATGGAAAAAGTAATAAACAATTAGATTTTCCGTTTCATCCACATTTATAACATGAAAAGTGCACACTTTTCATGTTATGTTCACTTCTGATATGTTCTCCGCTATTGGCGCAACTTTTTATTAACATAATTTTGATAATGAAGTAAGCTTTGATGAAAGATGTGAGTTTTTAGTTTGATCAACCAAATTGAATTCCTTCTTCATAACATTTAAAATACGTAATAAATGCATAGAATCTACAATTACATCACATTCTGTGAGGGATTTGATAAGAGGCGGCTTGGAGGTGAAAATGTTTGGTGGAAG